TGTTGGGGTTTATAAGATTGATGCCTTTTTTGCCTTAACCTCCAAAATTGTAGCCTTAGCCAAAATGGTAGAAGCTATAAGAACCAACCCCATCCCTTCCCAAGTCCAATCCATTCAAAGTCCTTTCTTTACTTATAACATTTGTGAGGGTAACCATTCTAGTGATAGGTGTCTTATACATGTTGAAACAATCTAGTATGTTGTTGTAGGTAACAATATAATCCATATAACACCTATAACTAAGGTTGGAAACACCACCCAAACTTCTCATGGGCTAACCACGGCCAAACTTTAAATTAAAATTTCAAACTTTTTAATCCCTCAAGTTTTCAACCACCACCCTCACAATACCAAACACCACCTCCACAATACTAACCTCCTCCACCACCCTAAGAAATAAAATAATCTTTGAAGGAGATGTTCAATCAAATCTTTCAAAACCAAGCAGCCACCATCCAAAATCAAGCAACCTTCATAAAGAACTTTAAGTTGCAAGTAGGTCAATTAGCCAATGCTTTAAGTAACCATCATTAAGGTACCTTGTCAAGTAACGCAAAGATAAATATAAAAAAGCAAGGTAAGAAGGATTGTAATGTTATTGATTCATCAAAAGATGAGGAATTGAATAAGGTAGCTTATGATTATGATTCTAATGATATGATAAAGGTTCCTATCATAGTAGAGATGCCTAGGTTTGTGAAAATAGTAAAAAAAGATCCTATTGAAGATAAAGGTTAAGTGGATGGGGATGAATCGATTAAAAAAAATCCTAAAGAAGAAGATGATTCAGCATTACTGGAGATTAGAGATAAGGAAATTAAAATTAGGAAAGAAAAACCTATGGTAAGAGACAAGATGAAACCAGTATTTGATGATGTGGTAGTAGAGGAAAAAATTGAAAAAAAAAAGAAAATCATGACTGATGATGAAAAACATGAATATGTGAAAAAGAAGGCTAAAATTAAAGATTTAGATTTCATAGAAGAAGCTACCAATTTCAAAATTTAAGAAAAAAAGGTAAAGGAAAATATGAAACTAATTCCTAGAATATCCATTCCAAATAAGCTATCATTTGATGTTACACCATAAGTAAAGAAGCCTAATTTGGATATTCTATTTTAAGAATTAGATAAAGTTACACTTACAAAAAAGTGTAGCATTATGCTTCAAAAAAATTTGCCCAACAAGCTTATTAATCCAAAGAGTTTTTCTATTCCTTGTTCTATTAGCTCTATTTTTTATTTTTATTTTTTTTGAAAATGCTTTGTGTAATTTAGGATCTAGCATAAACCTGATACCTTTTTCTATTTTTATATAGCTTGGTATTAGAGAGTTAAAGCCTGCAAAGGCATACCTTCAACTAGCTAATAGATTAGTGAAGTATCTAAAAAGAGTGGTAGAAAATGTTTTGGTAAAACAATAAATAAGCTTTCTTATTGATTTTATGGTACTTGATATGGCTAATGATAAAAAAACTTATATCATCCCAGGAAGGCCATTTTAGTAACTTTTAGATCATTAATTGATGTTTACAATGGGGAGCTAATTATGAGATTTCAAGAAAGAAACATTTTACTTAAGATTGGTGATCTTGTTGTTTTGAAAAAAAAAGCTGGTTTAAAACAAATCTTCAATGGAGATGCAAAGTTGTTGAAGAATGAGCTTATGCTGGTAAAGCCAAAGCCAACATATAGGAGTCCAACAAAGAAGGATGTAAAATCATGGAGAAAGGATACTTTAGCTAGCATGAAATTACTAGCAATTCCCCTTATGTAATACAAACTAAGAGGAGGAAAGAAAATGTGTGTAAGGAAACTACATTTGTTGAGACATGCTCCTCCAATTTATTAGAGCAACATTCAATGAAAAAGATTGTGAAAAAGAAAATAGTTAAGTGGATGTTTATACAAAGAAGGGTGTGGTGGATTTAAATGAATGAATTTTTAGAGATAGTCAAGCTTGACTATAACTAGTGCTTTTTGGGAGGCAAGCTAAGTTTTAATTTTCAAGTTATTCATACTTAGGATTAGATTTGTTTATTTTAGTTTTTATTAGGAATGGGTAATGCTTATTTTATTTGCTTTTATTTTGTAGGAAAAAGAACTTAAGGAAGATAGGAGATAGAGAATTCCTACAAATACCAAAATCAATCTTAGAGAATTAAAGGAGTATCTTTTTTCCCTTTAGTACTTTATTGTTCTATTTTTGCATATTGAGGACAATGTGTCATGTAAGTTAAGGGAAAGAAAATTTGTGAATTTCTTTCAAATTCTTTTAAAATTTTCTATTTTGAGCTTAAATTGTCATGTTTAGAATCATCATATTGCTTCCTTTGATTATTTTCTTATAATCCAATAATAGAAACTTGTATTGACTTTGAATATAGCTATTTAGAAAAGAATGAATGTAATGAAAGTATGAGATGATTTTTGAAATTTGTTTCTTTTTAATTATGATATTTTCACATTCTTGAGCACTTAGTCTTGATCATTGAAATAAGTGCATGTTTAGTTAAAGTTTATGTAGATGCGAAATTATATTTATCTTTAAAGTTATTTTATAATTTGTTTAAGTATCTCTTAAGGTGAAATCATAGACTACACTTAAATAAGGAGATGATTTAAGCCATCTTTGAATCGTTTGAGCTTTTCAAGCTTACATTTATTATGAATATGCTTTTTCAGCCCTTTTGAGCCTTTTATATACCTTTTCTTTGTTTTAACTTACATGAATAAGCCACCATTTTATTATTATCTTTATCTTTCTACCTTATCCTATCACATGAGGATTAAATCAATATAAAGCTATGTTACATTAAGAATGATGGGTGGAGTTTGAAAAGAAAAAAAAAGCAAGCAAAAGTTAAAAATAGCTTGAAATTATAAAGTTGCTTGAATTCTATTGTGAAAAAAAGAAAAAATATTTCAAAAAAGAAAATTTTGAAAAAGATGAAAAATTGAAAAAAAAAAAAAAGAAAGTGAAAAAGGAAGTTTGTGAAAAAAGATAAAAGCTACAAAAAAAGAATAACCTAAGTTTGGGGGTGTTACAATTCTCTTGAAAGCTCTTTCATCAAAGAAAAAAATCCCAAGTAATCATATGTAGGGATTATGAGCCTAAATTTTCCTTTATCATACCTTAACCTTAGCCTTACATTACATGCGGTATAAAAACCTATTGATCTTTAGTTAAGTGTGGCTTTATTAGTGGAAAGAGTATGTGAAAAGCAAATATATGAAATTTGTGCATGCTTTGAGATTATATGTGATTTCATGTTTGCATAATTTTAATTAAATGTCTTGGATTGAGATGAGATAGATTATATAACCACACACATGGAAATTTGCAATTGGAAGGGAGTTTATTCTTGAAAGACTCTTATGTTTAAGCTATGCTCATGATTTTCTCTAATTTATATTCATTATGTAATGTTGAGGAACTTATGAGAATCTAACATTGGAAGCATGTGTTATGATCTCTAACATGTTTTTTTTTTTTTTTTTTTTATCTAGCTTAGTTTTATTTTGCTTGAGGACAAGTAAAAATTCAAGTTTGGGGCTTTAATAACTCTATAAAATAAAGTTATTTTTACTGCTTAATTTTATGAATTTTGCTTAGTTTTTAGTAAAATAATTTAGTTTTCCTCCTTAATTTGTTTAATTTGTGCATGTGTAGATAAATGGAAAAAGATGAATTTTGAGGCAATTTGGCTAGATTTTGGAGTTAAAATGCATAGGATATCATGAGATTGCATGTGACAAACAAAACAAAATTAAAATTTTGTTTTGATCCAAGAGACCAAAACCAACAAGAACCCTCCAAGAAGTCATCTTTCATTCAAGAACTCTATTCCAAATTGAAGAAGATTGTGCTCTATATCAAGATTACAACCTTTAGAATTCTCTATTTATAAATAGCTATATTTTGTTTAGGGAAAGGATATATAATGGTTGGGATGGCAAACCAACCTATCTTTAATATTCTTTAGCTTTCTTATTCTTCTAGTTTTTAAGTTTTCAAATTCTTTAAATTTTCTTTTGATTGTTGCACTTTTACTTTCTTGCAATTTAATTTCAAGTTAGTTTTAATTCTTATTCATGCTTTTTTAATTTTTGTTCATGCAATTTAAGTTTCGTTTGAATTTTTATTTAATCTAAGTTGTTTTAGGATTGCAATTTAATGTTCTTTAATAGATTAGATTAACTTTCTTCCATTATTGTTCTTCCATAGTTTTAGTTTTTAGTTCATTGTTTAGGTCTAATTTTACTGCACTAATTCTTGTTTTAGCTATTGCATATCTTACAATTAATTTAGGGTTGTTTAATTTTATTGTTTTGCATTATAGTTAATTCTTATTCACTATTTTAGCTATTACATAATTTTTTTTTTTGCATTGTTTAATTTTCCTACATAAATTTTGATTTAATTTTCTGTTTTAGCACTTTTAAAATTTATTTTGCTTTTAAATTATTGCTATTGCATTAGTTTAATTATACAATTTTGCATTAGATTTAAGTTATTTAATTTCGATTTAGTTTATTTGTTATGGTTTTGCATATTAATTTAGTAATTGCTTTAATTTTTGGTTTTTGAATATAGTTAAAGGTGTTCAATTTTGATAATTAATTCTTTCTATTAAAGTTTCCGTTGGAATGAATTTTACTTATTACTTCATTATTTAATACAATTATGTGTGCTTGCAAATACCCAATCAAAACGAAATTAAAAGTATTAAACTGATAATTTTATTTTGTTAAATATCAAACTAAAATATATAGAGTATACAAGACAAATGAATATTAAAAAAAAAAAAGAAAAAGTCTAACTTGAAGTTTGTAGTCTTCTTTTTATTATTATTATTATTTTTTTGCATTTAGTTTGTAGTGAAATTTTGTTCCTATTTTGTGTATGCATGTCATCTGGTGTGGGTCCATGTATCTGTCATTTAAAATTGTCTAATCCACACATCTTTCCTTTTTTTTTTTTTTTAATTATTTCGTTTTTGGTGTAGCCATATATTGAATTCACATGATGCACACACATCAAACGTTCGTACTCCTGTATAATCCAAACAAAGGCAAAGCTCTACTCGTCTCTCGTTCTTTCATTTTCACTTTCAAGAGGAAGTGAGAGAGGCTGATAAAAAGGAGCATGGCAGACACAAAGAACAACAACATGGAGGAGTGTTTGATACCAATAGATCAGAAATTAGAAGAGAAAAGAGAAAGAAATCCGTCGTTAACAAGGGTTGTTTTCATTGAAGAAATTAAAAGGCTGGGTTACCTTGCAGGTCCTATGGTGGCTGTGACCTTATCACAGTACCTCTTGCAAGTTATATCAACGATGATGGTGGGTCATCTGGATGAGCTTGCTCTCTCCAGCACCGCCATTGCCATATCCCTATCCGCGGTCACCGGCTTTAGTGTCCTAGTAAGTCATTTTGCATTTTGCTTCTAATTTATTATTATATTTTGCTACGGACATGTCTTTCTCATTATGATATTGAAATTTGGAAAATTATATGCTCTTGTTTTCTATCTCTTTCCTTGTCGTGTTCTCCATCTCTTTGTTTGTATGTCTTTGTATGTAGCCCATATGGATGTATGAATGGTTTAGGTCCGATAAATATATTCCAACAAAAAGAAATATTTGTGATCCTTGGAAATGTCATACCAATTAACATTAAATTCTTTTTTTTTAAATTAGTTGGCTCGTTGACCCAACTGCTCACTTCCTTCCATCTTATTATATTTTTTTCATTGCTTTGGACTTTTCTGGTGATTGCAAAAAAATACCTGGGAATGCAAGTGCAAGTTGTACACAATTTCAAAAGAAATTATGACCACAATTTTCAAAAGAAATTATGTCAGCTTATAATATACAATTAAATAAATTAGTAATTAAATTAAGACTCATGCTCGTCTTTTATTGTTCAACGTCTTGGGGAGCAATTTCCTATATGGTCAAATAAGCTAAATTATTTGCTTCCTGACCAAATGTTCATTATTATTAATTGCTTATGTTGAGAATACTTTATTGTTCAATGAATCTCTTCGGGAGCAAGTACTTGTGCCGACAATAATTTCTGCCTTTTAGTCAAATTTGGAGTGTTAGATGGTTGATAATGTTTGTCTGAACTTGCTTTGTAGTTTTGCTTATTGTTAAGGAAACTATTAAAAATCAATTTTGACAAAAAAATAACAGGGCCCAATGAAATCTGTCCAAGTGACAAAGGGCAACCATCTGCTAAACTAAAGACACTGGAGCTTTACTTTGAATTCTTTTTAGTTGTGTCTTTTACCTCATACTAATAGTAACTATATTTGAAGAACAGCCAGACGGTTATGCTACATGTAGAAAAAAAAAATAGTTGATTCTTGCAGTTCAATAAAAGAGTTGTTCTATCACTATTACGTAAATAAATAAAGGAAAGAAGTCCAATAAGTTGGATGGATTGGTTTGCTGAATCCTGAGCTGATGAATTGGGTTTGGTAATGGAGTCACTTCAATCTGAACTTGTATGTTTCCAATTTCAACCGGTTTAATATTGTAATTTGCATGTGAACAGCTGGGAATGGCTTCTGCATTGGAAACGCTGTGTGGACAAGCTTATGGAGCTCAACAATACCGAAAACTGGGAATCCATACCTACACTGCTATCTTTTGTTTAAACTTAGTATGCATCCCTCTGTCGCTCCTATGGATTTACATGGGAAAGCTACTTGTTTTCATTGGTCAAGATCCCGTAATTTCACATGAAGCCTGTAAATTCATTATATGGCTTATCCCAGCACTATTTGCATACGCAACTTTTCAACCACTTGTTCGATACTTTCAAACACAAAGCTTGATCACTCCCATGCTAATATGCTCTTGTGCCAGTCTTTCAATCCATGTACCTCTATGTTGGGCTTTGGTATTCAAGTCCGGATTAAAAAATATAGGAGGAGCGTTAGCAATTAGTATCTCAAATTGGTTAAATGTGATTTTCCTTGCACTATACATGTGGTACTCTCCCACCTGCACAAAAACTCGTGTCCCCATTACAACGGAATTATTCCAAGGAATTAGAGAGTTTTTTCGCTTTGCTATCCCTTCTGCTGTTATGGTTTGGTAATGTTATCTCCCTTTTCCTCACCTGCATATATGCCTCAGCTATTGAAGATCTCTAAATGTCTTCGTTATTCAAACAATTACAGCCTTGAATGGTGGTCATTTGAGCTACTTATCTTGCTTTCGGGACTTCTACCAAATCCAGAGCTGGAAACATCAGTCCTGTCTGTGTGGTATGTTCTTTACTATTTGTGTTTGACCCAAACATTTTCTATCTTCCCAATATTAATCGGATATTGTGATTTCAATTCCATCATAAGATTCAAATAAATATCTATCCATCGTGCATAATGTAATTATTCTACTAACATTTTTTTCAACTTTTTCCAAGCAGTCTCTCCACCATTGCAACACTGTATGCCATACCGTATGGACTTGGTGCTGCTGCAAGGTTTGCCCTGACATGCATGCGCAGATTCATATTTTGTAATATTTATACATTATGAATTCTTTACTATTTAATTTAACTAAGAATTTTTTTCGATTTGTATATATAGTACTAGGGTTTCGAATGAACTGGGGGCAGGGAAACCCCAAGAAGCGCTTGTAGCGGTGTATACCGTAATGGTTCTTACAGTTTTAGATACCCTCGTAGTTAGTGGAGCCCTGTTCTCTAGCCGACATGTTTTTGGCTATGTTTATAGCAACGAGAAGGAAGTGGCGGATTATGTCACAACCATGGCTCCATTGGTTTGCGTGTCTGTTATTCTTGACAGCTTACAGGGGGTTCTTTCAGGTTTAAACTAGTTATCTTATGTCTTTTCAAGAAATGAATGTTATTGTAGCACTCTTATACGTACTTATATAATTCGATTAGGTGTTTCAAGGGGATGTGGATGGCAACATATAGGAGCTTATGTCAACCTCGGAGCATTTTATCTGTGTGGAATTCCTGTAGCTGCCATCCTTGGTTTCTGGTTACAGTTGAGAGGGATAGGCCTCTGGATTGGTATACAGTCCGGTGCTTTTATTCAAACAGTTTTGCTCGGAATTGTAACATATTGCATAAATTGGGAAAAGCAGGTGCGTTATCGATCCACTCTCAATCCTTTATAGATTATTCTGCTTCACGATAACTGCAGCTTAGCTTCGTTAATTTAATGCCAAACAAAGGAAAAGCAACATTAATTGCATTGATATGCTTGAATTTTTCTCAAATTTTACCTACTTGGTTTGCTTTTCTTCGTCTCTTTCATTTTATTTTCTTGATTGTGTCAAATTGCAGGCGATTAAAGCAAGGGAAAGGCAATTCCATGGAAGTTCTTAAATAGAGAATGGAACCATGTGAGAAAGCAGAATCAAATGCCGATCTAATTAGATATAGTCTTGTAAACAGGGACACAACTGCTGTATTGAACCATTTAAAAGAGAAATTTTATTACTATATTAATACTGCTGTAATAGAAAATCCAGATTGGATAAATTTGGTATTTTTTTTTTTTTTAAATCATCCTCATGCTCCATTGTAGTGCATGAAAGAATGCAATTATGAATGTTAATGGGTTTGTAAATGCGATGCCGTGCTAGCACACATGAAAATGCTAGCCCATATGTCGTGGCATTAGTTCTTAATCGGTCGTGTCCAATCAATATATAGCTTAAAATCCTTTACTCCAATACGATCTATTTATATGTGTTCTGCTTAATTTAGTACAATTATTTAACAGTAGATCATACCATCTTGACGAATCGTGACGTGTTATATAGGCTATTTAACCCATATGTTACCTTTACAAATAATAAAAATGTAATATAACTTGACATCCTATCTATAAATTTTGGCCATGTACGGACAAACAGTACAAGATCAAAGAGTGTGCTACTTGACTGTTGTTTTTTTTTTATATTTTTTTTTTCATTTTTTGACAAAATGCCGCCATAAGTCTTGATCACCTTGCTAAATACATCTCATGACTCACATTGAATCTTGTTTCCAAAATTTTGGCACCTATTGTAACCAATTCTCATTCAATTTTCAACCAAATACAGATCAATTAGCTTTTAATTTATGCATGAAAAATTCTGGAAAAATCTAGAAAATTCTCAATTCTAAAAGTGGCTTCAAACCGTACAATTGCACTTGTTACCATTCTAGCACATGTAAAAATACTACAAGGTGACAGCATTAGTGAGAAAAAAGAACCAGAAAAGCAAGCAACCAGAGGAAGAAGAAGCAGAACCCAGAAAAAACAAAGGCAGTAGCACTCGCAAAAAAAAAAAAAAAAAAGCAAAGCGGAAAAAACAAAAAAGAACCAGAAAAGGTGGAGAAGAGCGATCAGAAAACAACGGAAAAAGAAGAAGAGAAAGCTGGCAGAAACGCACTAGTGGGTGAGGGCTGAAAAGAAAAAAAGTAAAAAAAAAAAAGAAACTGGTACCAGAAAAGAAAAAAAAAACCAGAAGAAGAAGACAGATGCAGTAAATGGAAGGACAGGTAACGGCAGTTTAAAGAAAGGGGTAAGCAGCAACCAAATATATAACAGAAACAGAACTGAAAAACTGAACTGAAGAAAAAAGAGAAGCAGCAGGTCGGTGCAGGAACGAGCAAAGGCAGCAGTGGAAAAGAAACCAACCCAAAAAAATCCAGAAAAGAGAAGAGAAAAGGAAGGAAAAACTTTCGGTTGGTTTTCTTTCTCCTTTCCCTATGGTTTGTTGTTTCTTTTCTGCTGCATGTGATTGGCTTTAAAAAGTTTTTCCTCCCCATGCAATGTAGAACAGTTCATGCACCTTTCTTCATCCTTTTTTTTTTATGCGATATATATATCTTTATATATATAAAGGTAAATGCCGCAGATGTCACATGATTACATGGCGTATTATTCTCTGAATTTGCATATAAAATATTCAGGTTCTGTTGTTATTCTGTAGTTTTGCTTCCTCCGCGGGTGGCATGAAAACAGGATTTAAAACTTCACTCACTCTTTGTTTGTTGATAGATTGTGCTTGAATTATTATTGATTCGTAAAAGTTTTTCATCGATGATTGTTGTCTTGCATTCGTGCATATAGGCTGTGTGCAGGAAGCATGAATATTCATGATATTTTTTGGCATGCTAATTACTTTCGTTTGCATGATGGTTGTGTGGGAAGTGGGAAGTTTTACATGTTTATTGTTCTTTTCATGTTATTGGAATTTTTAGGTCTATTTTAATTTTTATGTATTTCCAATATTATCTGATTTAGTTTATCTTTGATATAATACATTTCCAAACATTTTGAATAATAATAAAATAAAAGGTAATAATATTAACAAGCTTGTTTTTTTATCAATAATAATAATAATAATAATAATAATAATAATGATAATAATAGAAAAATTTTAAATTCCTTGTCTAAATGTTGGAGGGAATAAAAAAATCATATCTTTTTTTAAATAATTTCGCCTAGATATTGAAAAATTATTAAACAATAAATATAAAATAATAAAAGATTAAATAATAATAATACTAACAATATTAAATTCTAATGAAAAAGAAAATATATAAAACATAAGAATTATTTTTTGAAAATTACGTAATATGAACTTATTTCGAAAGCCTACCTATATTTCGAAAGCCTACCTATATGTTACAGATTTTTAGAGAGATTTGTAAATAACTAAAAACCCTAAAATGAATTCCTAAAGTGAAATCCAAAGTAAAATTTTAAACCCTAGACAAAACACAAAAATCCTAGGTGAAACCTTAAACCATAAAGCCCAAAACCCTTGGTGAAACCCTAAACTTTAGGGCAAGTTCGAAATCTTGATCCATCCAAAATCCCAAAATTTTTGAAGGATTTATATGAAAACTTTTTTGTGAAATAATTTGTTTTTGAATATTGCCTAGATGATGGGGTATTTAGTAAATCTTATTTCATTAAGAATTTTCATATATTTCTATAACTTAAAATGAAAATTTGAAAGAATAAAGAATACATAAATAATAAGATGAGATTTTAAATATAAAAAGTTGCACTCAAACTCTACCTATATATTGAAGAGTCTAGGTGGTCTCTTTATATTTGAAAACTCGATTTCTTAATTCGCATTTTATCCTCTTTTGCATACATCTAATTTTTTTTAAGATTAATGTGTGCATTCATAATGCACATGTATGTTTATTCTATTTATTAATGTTAATATTAATTATATCATTTTCATTTTTTATTGCATAAAAAGTTTATTAAAAAAAAGGTTTTAAATGAATAAAATTAAAATAGTATTTCGTAAAATATAAGTGTTGGTACTCTACCTAAATGTTGGAGAGTTACCGATAATTATCATTTATGAAGACTATTATTTTATTATTTTTAAAGGGAATGTTGCAATAAATTTTAGATGAAAAAACTATCTTTGAATTTTACATTTATGTCAAGGAATTTAAATATATTTTTTTAATCTAAAATTTTTATAATACTCATAAATAAAGATTTCTTTAAATTAATTTTCTTTCTAAAAGATGAAGGGAACTATGATTAAACTTCAAATAGAAACCAATTTTATCCAAAATTATAAATAGCACGTGATTAATTGGTACTAATTTCATGGGCATTGTAGGAGTGCTAATCTTTTCCCATGTGTAACCGACTCTCGAACTTAATCTTATTTTCGTAGATCAAAATTATATTTTTAATAAAATTTAAACCTATTTTATTATTTTATTAAAAGGATAAAATTTTTACATAGCCAATCACACTTTAAAAAAGAGGTGGTGGCTCCTTGTGTTTTTTATGATTTTTAATTTTTACATCTAGCAATTGAGTCATCAGACCGATACGCTATAACAGCTTGACGACTCCACTAAGGATATTTTGAAAGTCAAGCCAAAAATTTTAGTTATGTGCTATTAAAAATTTTGGATTCAATTAGTTTTATTTAATATTTAATTTAATTCCCTTTATTTTAATTTCTCAAAAAAATACATAAGTTACTAAATAGAATAAATTATATATTAGTTATTACTTTGTTTTGATTTTGTGTTTATGATTTATTTATGTTATTTTGTTTAATATGTCACTTTGTCCAGTTTTGTATATTCACTTACATGTGTGTGCTCTAGACCCAAGCTCCATCCTTGTTAGGAGGAAGTAAAGTAACTATACTTTCACGAGGTAAGTGATAACCTACATATTTGTTATTGAAACACTTCCATTAAGATCAAACCCTTTCCGTTTGTTGCCTATAATGGATGAGGATTGGTGTGCCTTATTAGTCTATAATAGACGATGATATAAGGTTGATTTGGGAATCTTTAGACAAATAAATCCCAACCCGGCATATCGTGAGCCATAGGAAACTTGCCTAGGGTAGAGCTGTGCCACCTTTTAAAAAATTACCAAAGGTTAGGATACTGTATATATTCTATTATTTTTGTGGTATGATATGATTATGTTTGGATCTTTGATTTCTTTTATTTGTATAACATTTAATTTTGTTGCATACATCATATAGATATTGCATTTTAAAAGGGGTATTTATTTTGTGTCAATCAACAATAAAAGAAGCATTCATGAAACCACTAAAAGCATCAACCTTCAACAAAAATTATTTGGAAGTCAAAAGCCAATTAGAAAGCACCTAAAGAAAAGAAGGAGATTGTTTAGAGGTCGGTTGTGTTTTTACATTTCCATAGTTGGTGCACGTGGATTTGAGTTAGAACGACATAGCTGATTTTAAAACTATATGGCAACAGTGAGGATAGAAAAGAAAGAGTCTTTTTTGAAGCAATATGGGGATGTGGCATTGCTCATGTTGTGAACATTGATGAGGCACTAGTTAGGGCTACGATACAATTTTGGGATCCATCTTGTCAATGTTTCATGTTTAATCAATAATGTTAGCTTTTTAGGTGATATGGTATCCAAAATGAAGGTGAATTGGAGTTTTCTAAATTTTTCTCAAACAATGATTTCAAAATAATTAAATGAAAAAATTAAAATCAATATCACAATATGATGCAAATGACAATAATTGATATATCTATAAGTAAATGTAATCAACAATGAAAATAAAGAGATAGGGATAGAGAAATCAAACATAATGATTTATAGAGGTTCGATCCTTTTTTCACAAGGCATCTACGTCCTCTCTTCTTGGTTGCCCACACTAATGCTTCAATCCACTAATCTTGAATTGAAAATACAATCCTATCTTTTTCTCCCTAAGGTTTAAGATAGAAACCTTTACCCTTTGTAGTATTTTACCTAATCTCACTACAAATCTCTCAAGAGGATACCTCATATATTATTTTTTTTCACCTTTATAGATCAAAAGTAATTTTGCAAATACTAAATCAACCTTTCTAAGGCTAGGTGTTTGCTAAGTTTAAAATCTACACATCATACAACTTGGGCTGAGACTAAGGCAAACTTATCCAAAAATAAGATGAGCCTATCCTTGATCCAAATCCACACATAAATAAGGTAGGCTGAAATAGAGAGATTGCGTTCACACT